CTCGAGATTGCTCTTAGCATGTTTACTATTAACCTGCAAGAGAATGTTTTCCCACTCTCTGATAAGAATATTTTAAATGTTCTCTATTGGTTGTCAATTTGCGATATTCAATTTGTATATCTATTTGTATGCGCATGGAGGAAGCCTTCTATGAAAATTAGAAAGAAATTTAGAGGAAGCATGAACCGCCACCTAAGGGAAGAGATAGGCGCATCCCCTGTTCAGATAAGAATATAACAGGCATTCAGTGGTTTGAAGGAATCTTCTGGTGTATGTTTTCTTTACTAAAATGGACTCTTCACTATAATGATAGTATATGAGCAGGCATAGCCCGATTCTTTATAATCTCTCCAGTACTTGTTAATTATGTTGTGTATAAACTATTATCCGTAAAATTATATATGGTCAACTGCTGCTTATGTATGAAGAATAGTGGCATCCGGCTTAAATGTGATTATTAGGAATTAGGGAGGATAGGTTAAGCGTCTATTAATATATTTTATTTGTGCGCGTTAATGTAATTATTAATGGAAGTATCTATATTTATTTAGGAGGAATTTTTATGAATCAGTCCATTCATGCAGGGTGGTACTGGCATCTTATGATGCATAGGAAGAGTTTTCATTCTTTCCATTAAATATTTTCTAGAGAAGTATGAGTCTCTTTATCTAAGCTGAGAACTGACAAAGTCAATATGAATACTGTACGGAGCCGCTACTGTTCCTTACTGTGGAAAGGGATTCTCAAATGAGGGGTAATGCCCTTGGTATATGTATAAAGTAGAGGGCGAAATTCTGGTAGTGATTTTAAGATAGGTTTCCCTCTAAGAAGTGGATCATATTAAAGGAGATATTCCTAATGTGCTATTATGATCTTGCACGTACATACTGTATAAATATGCATCTGATTTAGGGAGGACATCCCATAAGTATTAATGGACACGATTATGGGCGTTCATGTCTGTACTTAATAATTGTAATATGTAATAATACAATTTTAAGTTGTATGCGTCAGGACCCCTGTTTCTATAATTATATTGGAATCTCATTTTATGTCTTGTATTATCAGTATAGGAGCATGAATAATGTCTTTGGGATATATTTGAGGATTAATGAAGGAATTAGGCGTTATGGAACACAGGATAAAGAATATGTACATTTTAATTTTGAGCGGGACATATGCTCAAAATGGCAGACCATTTGACAGGATTTGGGACTTTTCTCTTAACTTACGCTATAAGGAATCTATTTAGATATGGTCTATGTCAATTTAAGGAAACCAGAGAACGGGATACTCTGAAAGCATGTAGATCCTAATGATAAGTCATAGTATAAGAATTTTATTTCCAGAATAGATTCGGAGTGATTCCAAAGGAATAATCCCACCTATTTAGCCCATTTATATGAAGTTATAGAGTAGATTCAGGTTCGCCGAATGCATTGTAATTAGAATTAGTTATAATATGGTGTTCTTTTTTGAACACTGCAAGACGAGCTGTGTGTAATTTGAAAAAGTAAAAAGATGCTCATAGGTTTCCTCAAATGGAACGTCTCTATCCGTAGTGTTAACTGTGCTTGAACCCGAACTGAGGAAAGTATAGAAGAATGGGAGAAATGACGAAGAAGCCAGTCGCTTCTTAGAGTGATCCTTACATGTAAATTTCGGTAGATGTTAATAAATTTCATAAAGAGCCTTTTAATAAGAGGAGGATATTTATAGGAAGAAATAGTAATTTTCAACTATTTGGTAATTATGTAGGAGAAAGAGATATAAATGAGAAAAAAATAGACTTCATAACTATGCTGCCAATACATCAACTCTCTACAAATCATATATAAGGGCTTCGACGCCATAGCCAGTACATGTAGTTGAAGTAACTATGAACAAGAACTATTAAGCCTTATGACGCTTCTGTTTCTTTTCTTAAATTATAGGAGATTGAGAGTGTGTACATATGAAGAGAAGGCGTAGCACTTTGTACATGTAATAGTGATCGTGTAAGAGGCCGAATTTTCCTGAGAAGATCGTAACAATAGTATGAATAATGAGAAGTATATGAAAAGATGAAAGGAAACATGCGAAGAGGAGTGACACCGCGTGACTCGACGAGACGAGTACAAGTGAACAGAGAACAGTGCCTAAGAAAATTTTCACAGAGAGGGAATCCACGCGAAAAACACAAAGTGAAAACGGGTGGAGACACCAACAGTGAAATATATGAGGAAATGTTGACAGCGGCTATTTCTGCATCAGATAAGGGGATACTTCATTGCGAACTTCCATCTCTTTTAATGTATACCGGATTTTTCACAGCTAGGGAGAAATATATGTAGGTACGGAATTCCTTACATATATTAATTGGTGTGATGAACCTTCTTTCGTTTGCATTCAGCGCTATCGTTTCAATTACAGAATCAGAAATTTTATTCGTTGCACTAGCACATAATGTCTTAAGATATCCGCTTGTGATTTTATACATGAAAGTATATAATCATTTAAAATGTATTTACTTCTTTTTTAGGTCTTAACAGCCTGTTTAAAATCTATCTTTCTTTTGTACAAATATAACACATTTTCTCTTGTAAATTGCGGAGAACTTACCACGTTCGGCGTCCTTACAGTTAGTGTTAGCTATTCTTTCTCGTTGTATTTCACGTTGTAATTATAGAGGTATTAATCCTGACCAGATGTGTCATTACTGGTCAGAGGTCTGTCATGGAAGTTGTGTTTTTTCTTGTATATTCCCCGTCACCTTTATTTTACACATGGGGATTATAGTTTTCTGGATTGTTTTACTCACATAAATTGGATTTATTTTATTTTTGTTTCTTTGATGATTGTCATCAAAGGGGAAACAGGAATAATTTTTTAATTTGGAAAAATCTTCCCCCTTTTTATATATAACGTTATTTAGACTGTAGGGGGACTCAGTAAGAGCATAATCATTTCGATCATCTGGCGTCTTAATGCGCGGATAATTTGCGGCAGAGTATTCTACGTAATTCCACGGTTCATGATTTACCAATCGCGCGTAACTCATTTCCTTAAAAGAAAGAAAGAATGAGATATAAAAACAGAATCATATGGAATTTGAAAACGAATGAATTGAATCAAAATAAAGAACAGAAAAATTAACAAATATTCGTAAATAAAATTAAGTTGGAAAGAAAGAATATGTCAATATACAAGGCACATGTGGCTGCGAATTATAACAGGTAAGCTCCGCGTGCATCTGCACATAACTGTATAAAAGAAATAACAGATTCAAAGGCATCGCGGTACTTTTCGGGGAGCAGCACGAATATTATGTGCCTATATTTTATGTTTTTTTTTTTGAAATATTATTCAGAAATCGCGATTCGCATTTAATTCAATTTGTTTGCCGATTTGGACTATCTTATTCTTAACTGGGAGTTTTTAGTGAACATAATCCCATGTCAGTTGTGATATGTATAGAAATATGCTCTCTTCCTAATCATTTCAAATTTATTTTTCCTTTTGACCAACTGAGAGATGTTTGTATATTCTAGAAT